AGAAGGGGAGAGAAAGGGGTGCTATATACCATTGTGGGGGGGGGAAGAGGGGTTAAGGGGTGCTATATACCACCCTGGCTAGCCAGGCGGGGGCGGGGGGAACGACAGGCGTGCTATATACCATCGTGACTAGTGGGGGGATGATCCTGTAGCCCCTCCATCCTGGACTTCCCTTGGTTGCCCAAAGCAGTTGCTGTCCACGCCGTACCGCCCAGCAACAGAGAGACGGGGTGGGGTGCAGGCAGGGCCCCCCCACCCTCGTGGCTCGGCAGGTGCACACCCCAGGGCCAGCAGGACGTGGCCAGATGCCCGTTGGCGGGTGCTGGGGGGTTCTACTTGCAGGTGGGGGAGGAGGGCTGAGAACCCCCCCCCGGGAAGGTGGGGCTGGGCCCTGTGCCACACGGAGCCCAGCACTCTGCACAGGTAGTAGAGGGAAAGCTCTTGGCAGGCCCAAACCCAGTAAGCGCCTGGGAGCCCCTGGGGCTGGGAGAAGCTGTGCTGGGCCTGGGGCTCACCAGGGTGTGTCTGTGCTTGCAGGGTGCTGGTGCTGCACGCGGGGCACATGGTGGAGTTGGGCAGCCCGGAGCAGCTGCTCCAGCAGCAAGGCCTTTTCTCAGCCATGGCCAAGGACGCCGGCATTGCGAGCGCCCAGACCACGGTGCTGTAGGAGCCGGAGCCGAGGGACAGCGCCCTGCCCAGGCCTCCACCCCCTGCAGCGGGGACCCCCTCCCCGCCATGCCCCAGGGCCAGAGCCCAGCCCTGCTGTGGTCACGCCAGTGCAGGCAGGGCCCCCGCAGGCCGTGGGCAGAGCCCTAGCACCCAGGGGACCGGCTGCCCCGCTGTGGGGCTGGGAGCAGCCTGGCTGCACTACAGGGACCAGCCCTGTGACTCCTCGCCGAGAGCGGGGCTGGGGGCAGCTGCCTTCAGGCTCCCCTGAGCAGCCTTCCCTGCAGGAACGGGGGTCGGGGCGAGTGACGCGCACGAGGGAGCCACAGGACACGTCAGGCCTCGAGCTTTAATGCAGCCCCCTCGCTGCGGCGCGCAGAACGCTGACCCCAGGGGAGGGGACTGCAGCCCTGGGCTGCCCCCCTGCATGGCCTGGGGTTAGGCTCTGGGCTTTACACCGAGCTCCCACAAACAATGTGACACTGCCCAGCCCCCTCACGCCTCCCTGAGGAGCCCCCCCCGATTGTGCCGCTGCAATTGTCTCTGTATAAAGAGGATTTAAACCCGCCTTGCTTTGTGTGGTGTGGGGGGAGGGTGCCAGGCGCGGCGTTGCCGGCACAGGTGCAGCATTGCCAGGGGCCAGGC